CCCCAAAACCCCAAAACCCCAAAACCCCAAAACCCCAAAACCCCTCTCTCCTGATGAAATATTGACACCAGATTATAGAATACCTTGGTTATACATCAAGGTCAGGAGTATTTGCTCTATGTGAGTCCTTGTTCTCTTCAGGTTCATCACTGCTCATTTCTTCTTCATTGTCATCTTTCATAGCATCATTAGCTGCTTTTTCAGCTACTTCCTTCTTTTTAGCATCAGAAATAGACTCTTTGTTTCTCTCATCTTCCTTTGATTTTTCCTTGATTTGGATGAAGGTAGAAACTTTTGTTCTACAGATAGGTCAGTTATTGGACTGTCTCCTGACTATTTGGGATCACTCCATACACAAGCACATATGCCTTCATGGAAGCACGACTGTGTCTTTGTCATTTGTAAAGCAAATTACTCATAACTTATTGTTATCATTGACGATATTTGAGGTTCCTCCTTCTACACCAAAGATCTCTCCGATGTCAAACATTCTCTTATTGAACAAGAACTTTGTCTTAATGCAATGGAAGGAATAATCGTAGCCCTCTAGCTTGAAGGATCCATACACTATTTGAGAACTATTCTTGGCCTTTCCTTTATAATCTTTTGGGTAATTTGTTTCTATCATCACCACGATTGGATAGTAGTCATCCTTAGCCTCGGTCAAGCTATCCTGGTTGTAATCAGACGGGTTAAACATTGACAATTTGGGTGGAAAGTCCTGTCCAATCCCTGCTTCAAACTTATACTGACTTGGAGAAGGTAGATCTGGAGCTGTCACGAAATGCAGAGGAATATTATTTATCGTTCTTCAACTCCTGAGATCAGAGATGAAAAGTTATAGCACAGTTGTAAACTGAGTCAAACTGGAGGGAGAAGTAGTACTTTCCTTCTTCATCCTTTACTAGTTTAATAGTGTCCCTCCTTATAGAAGAATGCATTTTAAGAACAGCAACTTGACTTGTGGTGTCATCCACACCATTCATTTGTAAATAACTCTGGAAGGGATAACCGTTATCATCTCCATCACCGGACCTTGCAGCAGCAGGGATTAAGCTACTATTTGCACTCCTAATTCTTTCAAATGCTGAGTTGTTATTATTGTTATTATTGGAGCTGTTTCCTCCCATATTTGCTAACCTTTTATAAAAAATGTTCAATTAAAACTAAATTTTGGGGTTTTGGGGTTTTGGGGTTTTGGGGTTTTGGGGTTTTGGGG